CCAAGCTGTAGGTTTTTCTTCTGCATCCACAAACACAGCTTCATATTTGCAAAGGGCTTCATTTGCAATCTGGTGAATCAGCCTCCTACCCTCTAACAGGGCTTGATTTACACAAAACCCCAACTTGGGCGCTGGCAGGAAACTCCATGTTGTTGTCTAGAGTTAAGGAAACCTGGCAGATCATAGAGGAAAGGCCAGAGGTCACCAAGGAAAATCTCTAGCCAATAATATTGATGAACCCAGCTGTCTGCTTTCCCCTTATTGGTCTTTTGGGGGCCAGTTGCTCCATGGACCTCTGGCCCCCTGCTCCAACCCAGCCTAGATTCACATTCTTTCCTAGGGCTAGGACCATTCAGTGTAATTCCCAAACTGACAAGACAGAATTAGTGAAGTTCTATTAATTGCTTCCTTGGAGTAGGAGGAAAGGCCAAGAATCCACAGGAGAAGCAAGCTATGCTGCTGCTTTGGCTCTGAGCCACGGCCTTTTCAGCTATGCATGGCCAGAGGAGGAGTCCTATCAGGCCACTGCTGTGGCTCCCTCTATGAATAAGCCTCTGCAACCCTTTGAGACTTCTTAGTAAAGTCCCCATCGAAGAACGAAAGCATGAAAATAACAGATTTGATCAAAGTATTCATTTAGAGAAAAAGTTGTCCCCTAAACTGTCATGATTAATAGATTCAGAAAGCCAGGACCCTTTAGAGCTGGAAGGGCCCTTGCAGATCATTTCATCCCAATTCCTTCATTTTCACAAGTGAGGAAACTGAGCACAAGCTCAAGGGTATCTGAAAGAGGTTTGTGGATAGGGGGATGACTCAATAGGCAGCAGCTTCTCTGCTGCTTCCACTGGGTCATCAGAGTTGAAAGTAAAATGAAAATGTATAAAGTGTGGTCTTTCTTAGGCAAAAGTGTAGAGGTCCCCGCCTTCCAAAGCTGAGCTGAACTACTGCTTCCTGGTGACGCTGCCCAACTTTTAGCTTGAGAACTGGGAATGTGGAAAAGACCCTCACTGTGTTCCACTCGAGCAAAGCAACCAGTTTGGGAGGCCATCTTTCCAAGTTACTTCCTCTCTACCAGCGCCATCTTGTGCTGGGTCCTGGTAGCAGCAGCATAATGCCAATCTCTTGGGAGCAGAGACGTCCCAGAGGTAGGAAGTGTTATAGAATCTGAGCAGGCAAAGAAGTACTGTTTAAAGGCAAAATCATAAAAATGAATTATTAGACTTTGAGACAGCCAGGGCCTATAGATAAGCTATTCCAGAAAATATGGGGTCCTTCCAATTCCTAGTGGCATCTTGAAAGGGGAAGTCCTTTCTTGAGGCCTGAGTCCAAATCCAACCACTATTCCCCTTTAGGAAATTCTTCTTTTTGCTCAGTTCCAAGACACTTTCCCTGCAGGATAGTCATCACCCACTCTATAGGAAAGCCCTTCAAATACTCAAAGATAATTATTTAAAAATCACTCTACAAGTTTCTTTAGGACAGGGATGGTATCTCATATTTCTTTCTTTTATCCCCTACAGTGCATGACCCAGGGCCAGGTACCAGCTTAGAAGTTTAGTAAATTCTGAAGGTATCTTAAAGGCACAGGACACTGAATTTGGAGTCAGAAGACCTAGGCTCTGCAACCTAATCACTGTGTGATACCCGGCAAATTACTTAAGTGCTCTGTACCTCAGTTTGGTACAATAGAAAGAGTACTGGAAATGGAGTTAGAGGATCTAGGTTCCAATGCCAGCTCTACCCCTCACTGCTTGTATGACCTTGGGCTAGTCATCTTAACCTCTCTAGGCTTCACTATTTTCAATAGTTGAATGAGGGGTTGAACCAGATGACCTCCAAGGTCCCTTCTTGCTCTAAATCTATGCTCCTATGATTAAATTATTCCTCAAATTTCTCTTCTATAAGATGGATAACCCCATTCCCTTAACCTTTCCTTACTATTTGCCAGTGCTTTCATCATTCTGGACTATACTAAAGTCCTACTGTGATGCCTCATGGTAGCGTAGGGGTGATTTTGGGTTTCTAAAGGCTATACATCAGCAAAGCACGAGCTTTGGCAGGCTTTATTGAGCTGGAAAGACTCTGGTTAGTATTTGTTCAGTGACAGGACTCTGGTCAGGGGCAGTCCTCTGTCATCAGAGGACTAACCTGGCTAGGTTCAGAGGAGCTTATTGGCAAGTTGGCCACAGAAACTTATGAAGACCATCTAGTTGAGGGGTGGGGAACCTGTGGCCTCAAGGCCACACGTGGCTCTCTAGGTCTTCAAGTGTGGCCCTTTGACTAACTCCAAACTTCACAGAACAAATCCCCTTAATAAAACAAATTATTCTGTGAAGTTTGTATTCAGTCAAAGGGCCATGCCCAAAGACCTAGAGGGCCACATGTGGCCTCAAGGCAACAGGTTCCCCACCCCTGATCTAATTCATCAGAAAGAGTTGGGACCTGCATGGGAGTGCTCATGCCAATGAAATCAACATCCCTGAAGTACTAAAGTAATAGGCATCCCTGAAGTTTTACTCTGAACTTCTCCAAGTTCTCCATTCCTCTGTTTATCTATGGAGTCCACAACGGGGTCCAATATTCTCCTAACAGTCTGATTGAGTGTCATGTATAAAGGAAGGATAATATCAATTTCTGCATTCGTAAACTAATAGATGACACAGTCCCTCTCATCCAACTCATACTTGAATTAGAATCCTCTCTGCAAAAAGAAGTAGCCATCCAGCCCTTGCTTAGACATTTCCAATGTGGTAGAACTCCTTAGCTCCCAGGGAAATGCATTCAGATTTTTGCTAACCCTAATTGTTCAAAAGTTTTTACTTCATAACATTGAGCCTTACATTGAATCTAAGTCTCACTCTCTCTTCAGCTTTCACTCACTATACCAAGCCAAATAAGTCCAACCCTTCTCCATAAACTCTAAGTCTGATTACAAGACTATTGCTGAAGTTTGTGGTCTTTAGAAGGAATTTCATGTGGAAGAGAGATTGGAAAAGGGATTGGATTTGTTAAAGACAGCTCTCCTGTCCCCCATAAGTCTTATCTTCTCCAAGCTATACATCTGCAATCCCTTCAAGCAATATTTATATGGTATGTTGTCCAGTCCTTTCCCCATTCTGGTCACTCTATTATGGATTTGCTCCAAACTGTCAATATCTTTCCTAAAATGTGGTGGCTAGAACTGAAAACAGTTCTCTAGGTGAATATTGTAGAACTCCCTCTCTCCCTCATTCTGGATCCTCTGCTTCTTTTCTTATAACCTAGAATGGCATCTTTTAGGCATTGCCTCAGTTAAACTGAGACCTGATAAAGATCTTAGCTTAAAAAGGCCAAGGTCTCCCACTTCATCCAGGGCCATCTCTAGTGATCCTGATCTATATCTTGCCACTGGACCAAGATGGCTCCTGAGGAGAAAGTGAGGCTAGTGACTTTGCACAGCCCTCCCTCACTTAAATCCAATTCCCTTGCATATCATGGCATCATGGCATCACCTCCCTGATGTTATGGTCCTCTTCTAAAAAGAAGAACAACAACCTCTGTGAGTAGTATAGTAGGAGCTGACCTACTGGGGACCCAACTGGAACAGTGCTCTTCTCTCTCTCCTTCCCCTTCCCTCCCCTCTGTCCACATAAGGTATCACACTCTTACCTGCAGGTGCTCTGCCAAAAGGAATATAAATTTTGACTGCTGAAACCTCACAAGACATCTTGGGGGTTTATAAACTAGATTTCTTTCTCAAAGACCATACCTCAAACCCAAATCACTCTGGCTCTCATTGATTGGCCAACAATAGGTACCAGGTCCTTGTTTGGGCCCTGATTGGCTCAGAGTGAATGTGAATAGCCATTGTTTCTATTTTGGCCAGAAATCCTGAGAGTCTTCCCCTCCCAGACTGATTTTTTTTGAGGAGATAAGAGACCATTCTCTGTTTCATTTCTTACCTAGCCTTAATCACTGAATGGTCATTGCCTCAGTCAAACTGAGACCTGATAAAGAACGTAGCTTAGAAAGGCCAACATCTCCCACTGTATCCAGGGCCATCTCCAGTCATCCTGATCTATATCTTACCACTGGACCCAGATGGCTCCAGAGGAGAGAGTAAGGCTGGTAACTTTGCACAGGTCTCTCTCACTTAAATCTAATTCACTTGCATGTCATGGCATCTCTTTCCTGATGTCATAGTCCTCTTCAAGAATAAAGGACAAGGGGCAGCTAGGTGGTGCAGTGGATAGAGCACTAGCCCTAGAGTAAGGAGGACCTGAGTTCAAATCTGACCTCAGACTAGATACTTAATACTTACTAGCTGTGTGATCCTGGGCAAGTCACTTAACCCCAATTGCCTAAAAAAAAAAAGAATGAAGGACAAAGAACAGAAGAGCATGTAGTTTCTTGGCTGCTATATCACACTGATAATTTGTAGTACACTAAACTTGCAGATCTTTTAAAAAAGAATTGTTATCTAATCTCATTTGTGAGGTTGGTTTTTGAAACCCAAGAGTAAAACTTGGCAGTCATCTCAATTCAATTCAATTTCATTACTATTCCATTCATCCCATCATCCATATCTTCTATATCTTCTGGATTCCAGATTGTATTATTTAATGCATTAGCTATCCCTCCAAGTTTCATGGACCAGCACAAATTGAAAATGTATGCCATATATAACTTCATCCAAAATAAATGGATAAGAATGTTGACAGATCCCTGAGCCATTCTATTAAAGGTATCCCTTTAAGATGTCACTCAGTACTCCTAGTCACCCATTAGACTATGAGCTCCTTGAGAGCAGGGACTTTCTTTTGACTTTACTTATATCCCCAGCACTTAGGATAGTGCCTCGCACATAGTAGGTGCTTGATAAAGGGCAACCAACCAGCTAGCTATGTACCCAGTGGCAGGATTTTTTTCAATTATACTCCCTTGTTGACAGCTCATAATTGCTTCTGACTCTAAGTTCTATACATATAGTTCCAGCAGGAGGTCAACTGATCCAAAGAATATGACTTAATTGATTTTCTAACTTTATTTGTAACACATTCTGTTTGGGTTCATAGAGAAAGGATGTTGTAACCTCTTACCACGCCCTCTACAATGCAGCCAGCAAAGGTAGGTCTTGCCCTAAGAATTTTGCCTGACAGATAAATATAGGACTAAGTCCAAGATGCCTCCAAAAAGCATGGGAAAAGAGTTTCCTAGAAATACTCCAAAAAACATTCATTTCTGAGATCATCTCTCAGGGCATATCCCCATTTCACATGCAATCAATCCCACGCTAGCACCTGAGGTGGCTCCTCAGTTCCCAATCTGTCCACTAAGTGGCACCAGAACTCTGACTACGTATGAGAGCACAGGGCTTTTCATTTTGCTTGGCTCGGCATGTCTTTATTCAGGTGATTTGCTGCGAAAATTTAATTAGCACCTTCTAAAAATAATTAATTTGTCCTTATTCATCCTCTAGAATTATGTGGCTTCTTGCAATTTATTTCTTGTTGTGTGCTAACTGAATGGGGGTAGGAGATGAAGGGGAAGATTCAGGAACAGAAGTGAGAAGTTCCCTACTCCCCAGCCCCAAGGTGGCTGCTGGGGAGGTGTTCTACCCCCCAGATTCAGAAGCAGCCTCCCCTTTTGCCACAACAGCCCACCGGTGGAGCAGGGCATTGTTTAGGCCTGGTGTTCAATTCTTCTGTGAGCTTGAACAGATCCGTGATCATCTCCTAGGGAAATGCAAACCAAAATGCCAGTTAGGATGACTAGATAAGTAAATAGATCACCAAGGTCAAAATGGATACATGAACTAGATATAAAGGGAGATATCACAAGAAAACTAGAAGAACATGGAACATTTTAACTATCAGACATATGGATAGAAGAACTATTTATGAATTAAACAAGAGATAGAGAGCATTGTGAGGTATAAAATGGATAATTTTGATTACATTAAACAAAAGGTTTTTGTACAAAGGTATTTGTACAAATAAAACCAGTGTAGAAAGCAGAAAATTAGGGGAAACTTTGATAGACAGTTTCTCAGATAAAGGTCTTACATCTCAAATATATAAAGAACTTTATTAAATTTATAAGAATATGAGTCATTCAACAATTGATAAATGGACAATAGATATGAACAGGCAGTTTTTCAATGAAGAAATCAAAGCTATATATAGTCATATGAAAAAATGCTCTAAATCATTCTCAATTAAAGAAATGCAAATTAAAACAACTTTGAGATATCATCTTACACCTATCAGATTGGCTAAAATGATAGAAGGTGAAAGCAACAAATGTCAGAAAGGATGTGGAAAAATTGGGACAACAATTCATTATTGGTGTAATTGTGAACTGATCCAACTATTTTGAAAAATAATCTGGAATTATGCCCAAAGAGTTATAAAACTGTATACCCTTTGACCTAGCAATATTTCTGTTAGGTTTGTTTCCCAAGGTGATTAAGGAAGAAGGAAAAGAACTTACATGTTCTAAAATATTTATAGCAGTTCTCTTTGTGGTGGCAAAAAACTGGAAATTGAGGAGATGCCCATTAATTGGGAAATGGCTGGATAAGTTGATGTGATGGAATATTACTGTGCCATAAGAAATGATTAGCTGGTTGATTTTAGAAAAACATGGAAAGACCTGCATGAAATAATGAAGAGCAAAATGAGCAGAACCAAGAGAACATTGCATACAATAACAGCGATATTGTTCTAAGAATAACTTCAAATGCCTAAGACATATACATATATATGTATGTCTAATTGTAACCTTCTCTAGGGCGAGGTAAGGAGAGAGGGAGAAAAAAAAAGTGCACAGCACAGAACAAAAGAAAACTTAGAAAACAGAAAAGCAAGGTAGCTTTGAAAACGATATGTAGTAGCTCAAATGCCACCTTTTTCAAAAAGGCTTCCCTGATTCTCCCCAGTGGAAAATTACTTAACTCCCTCAGAAAGAATTTTCTTTGTACCCCTTTTCTGCATGTATGTTCTATTCAGTTCTCAGTTATTTTTGTATATATCCTATCCTCTTACTAGATTTTAGCTTTCAGGAAAACAGAGGCCATGTTTTTGTTAATCCTAGAATTTCTTTTGCATCTACTACAGTGGTGGGTACTTCATAAGTATTTGTGAAGTTCAGTCCTAAAGTGATTCCTAAAGCTGAGAGACACTCTAAGGGATCCTGAGCCTCAGGGACCCCCAAAGCAGTGGTAGTGGTCCTGTGCTAAGAGCACTGTCATCCAACAGAGAGCCCAAGTCATAGGAGTCAGAAGTGGTACGGAACTTATATCCACATGAGATCCTGAGTGGATCCATCAGGGATCCCAAGTCTTAGGGCACCAAGGATACCAAGAAGGTGTCAGTTTCTGGGAACTTGGAGATTAGGAAATGAGTGCCTACTCTACATTCAGGGTAGTTTCTGGGTATGCTTCATCTTCTGCCCTCTTGGGAGAAGGCTGTGGGGCTGGCATGAGGATGAATTCAGTACAGTCTCGGGGAATCGACCACCAATCATGTAATGACCAGATACCCAAACAGAATTCCCTGCCTTCAGCCCCAGTTACTCTGTGTTTGGAGTGACCAACTATGGAAGCTGAGACTACCTCTGACTTCCCTTCCCTCCCTGTCCCCATCATCCAATTCCATGCTGAGTCATCCATCACCAAACCTTAGAAGATTAGGCTTCTAGTCAATGGTTTTCCTTTCTTCCTATTTACAGCAAGCACATTGACAGCTCCTGTTTCCCCCTTCTATGATTCAGGGTTGTCATCCCCTGAAACAAAAATCTCTTCCTCCTGTAACCTCTTCCTGTATTCTTATCCCTATCTGCCTTACGCTATTCTTCCACTATTCCCTTGTGTACTACTAATCTATTATGCCCTCTGGAACCCTTTCCTCATTATTAATGAACTTTCTTTACCTCACACTCTTTCTATCACTTGATGTTAATGAAAACTTAGTTTCCTCCAGAAGATATTGTATCCCTGATGCTTACCGCAGTAACTGTGTTCCTTCTCTCATATTCCCTGATACACTGAGCCAAGAGGGAGAGATTACTCTGGGTTCCCCACCACCATTTCTAGACTTTCCCTTTACCACAATCATTCACCAATATCTCTTCCTTTGAGGTTCACTTCGTTTGCCGGGGCTTCTTAAACTTTTTCTACTTGTAACCCTTTCAATGCTTCTGAAAAAGGGTCGCAACCCCTTTTTTTTCAGTCATCTCTCTGTCTCTTGATCATTCTTCCCATCATAGACCTAGAGTCAAAAGGAATCTCAGGAGCCATTTTGGCTCAACCCCCTCATTTAACAGATAAGGAAACTGAGGCTCAGAGAACACTTGAGTTTAGCACCTCATTCATTCTTCTGCTCCCTTTCCAGCCCTTCCTCCTCATATTCAGACATTTCAATATATACATCAATATCCTCTCAAATATATCTCAAAAGGATGGTCACATCTTAGATCTCACCAGCAGCCATGATTCTGAACTCTGAAATTCCTTTCTCTGATTATAGTCTTTTCTCTTTCCTTCTTACTCTCTGCCTCATTCTTTCTAAATCTCTTCTTTATCCTCACCCTAACCTCCAGTTCTCCCAGCCCTTCCTGTTCTCCTGTGCCCTGACCTCACTTTCCCAAATTCAAAATCTTGATGCTATGGTTGGCCTCTTCATCTCTACACTATCTAACCTTGAGTCCCTTGTCTCTTTGTCCCATCACTACTCATACGTTACCAGGCTCCAATATTCAATTACCCTCACCAAGCATTCATCTTCTCTGCTCCTACTTACATACTGCTGAAGAAAGTCACATGACTATATTGATTGGTTCCACAACAAATTTGTTAACTAATCCTAAGTGTGCTCTCGCTGCTGCACAGTGACCCTTTTATTCTTCCCTTGCTGACTCTATCAGACTCCATAGATCGGCTGTTCTGGCTGTTTCTTTTCTCAGTCACCCTCAACCACCCTCCTCTTCCATCTCTCTCAGCAGAAAGTCTGCCCTCCTACCTTACTGAGAATATAAAGGCCATCTCTGAGCTCCCTTTTCTCTCCTACTATACAACTCAAAACCCCTCTACATCATCTCTCTTTCTTCCAGTCTTTGAGAAAGAAAAAAAACCCCTGCAAACAGGATAGTGTAAATATGATTGTGGCGACTTCACAAATGGAGAAATTGAGGTTCAGTAAAGTTCAGTGGCTTGCCCATGGTCACACTATTAGTGTTAGTACCAGAATTTGAATACAGGTCTCCTAATTTCAAATCTAATATTTTTTTTCACTATTACAGTGCTGCCTCTCTTGAACACCAAGCTAGAGAATGTGTACATTACTTGGTAGGGCCATGGGGAGCCAGAAAAGGTTCTCAGGCAGAAACATGGTCAGGACAGTGTTTTAAGAAGATGACTCTAGCAATGATCTGAAGAATGATTTGGAATGGGAAGGGGTGGAGTGGGGAATGGGATAGGATTGGGGGGAAGGCAGAGGCAAAGAGACCTGTTAGAAAAGATATGAAAATAACCTAACAGCTAGGTGGTGCAGTGGATAGAGTGCTGGACCTGGAGTCAGGAAGACTCCTCTTCTTGAATTCAAATCTGGCCTCAGACACTTACTAGCTGTGTGACCCTGGGCAGGTCACTTAACCCTGTTTACCTCAGTTTCCTCATTGTAAAACGAGCTGGAGAAGGAAATGGCAAACCACCCCGGGATCTTTGCCAAGAAAACCCCCAAATTTGGTCACAAACAACTGAAAATGAACAACAGCAAAGAGGAAATAAGGACTAGACTAGAGTGATGCCAATGGGAGAGGAAAGGAAGGATTCTCAGACTATTGCAGACATATATTCTCTATTTATTCAATACTAAAATCCCTTCCATCTCCTCAATTTGATCTTGAGAAGAATATGGGAAAGAGAGAGAGAGAGACAGAGACAGAGAGAGAGATTTTTCTGGTGCCACATTCAACGTATTTTATCTTCTCCTGATTTTTCTAACAATGGCACTGTGAAGGAGAATAAAATTCAAACACCATTGACTATAACCTGACATTTGGAAATCAATTCTAACAGATAAAAACCTATTCCTACCCCTTTTAATGATCCCAGATCCAGTCAAATAGGCAGAAGAGTTGGAAATCAAGGGCTAGTTCCCTGGGGCCTGAGCCTCCCAATACCTAATGTCCAATCACATCCTGGAGATAATTAACCTTCAATTAACACCAGTTACATTTTCATCTCTTCTGTCCCTAGATCTCTTGATATAAATAACTTGTCCAATTAGCACACCCTGATCCTTCCACCGCAAGAGAAATCTGGTTCAAGACTAAGTCAAGAGGAAATGGAAAAATCTGCTCTCATTTTAACTGGATTTTAATTTCATGCTAAAGCCCTTTGGGGATTTTCCTTTGGAAAATTTCTGTTGACAACACTATCATCTTCCCAAGTTATTCCAGCCTGCTTCCCTAGAAATATCCCAGACTCTTCCCAACATTTCCAACCAGTTGCCAAGTCTCATCCATTCTACCTCTTCAACATTTCTCATATTTGTCCCCTTTTCTCGATTCCCTTGATCATTAACCTAGTTTAGAGTCTCATCAACTCTCGTGTGAACTACTATAATAGTCAGAAACATGGTGGAACAATGGCAAGTGATGGATTTGGAGTCAGAGGACTGGGTGTGAATCCCAGTTTGGCCACTTACTAGCTCTGTGACTTTGGACAAGTTACTTAACTTCTCTGGACCTCCGTTTCCTCCTCAGTAAAATGTTGGGATTGGACTAGATGGAGTATAAGATCTCTTCTAGTTTTAAATCTATGATCCTATGATCCTCCTAATTTACTGCCCTGGCTTTAGTCTCTCCCCTCTCCTGGCTCAGCAAATAGAGTGCTAAGCCTAGAGTCTGGAAGGCCTGAGTTCAAATCTGGCCTCAGATACTTACTAGCTAGGTAACCCTAGGCAAGTCTCTTAACCTTATTTGCCTCAGTTTCCTCATCTGTAAAGTGAGCTGGAGAAGGAAATGGCAAACCACACCAGTATTCTTGCTAAGAAAATCCACTCTTCCACATGGCAACCATTTAAGTAAATATTGAAGTCCTCCATACCTTTCCAGCCTGCTTTCATATTACCTGCCCATTCACATATGCTCTATTTCAACCAAACTTGCATATCAGCCTTCAAACTCAACATTCCATCTCCTCTCTCTGTGCCCCATGAAGATTGTTCTCCAGGTCTGGCATACACATCCTCCTCATCTCCACCTTTTAGAATCTCCAGCTTCCTTCAGTGTTCAGCTCAGCCCAATGACCAACCCCCAGTCCAGAGGACCAATGTTGAAGCATGCTACTCACCTTCTAATAGAGAGATGATGGACTCTGGGTGCCGAAATGAGGCCTTTTTTTTTTAGACATGGACAATGCAGGCTTGATTATACATATGGTACAAGGGTTTTGTTTTCCTTTCCTTTTATTTTATTTTTGAGACTGGGTCTCCCTATTTCACCCAGACTGGAAGTGCAGCAGCCACC